TGGGCGCCGAGCACGCGAGCCGCGTTCGTTACGGGAGAGCGAGCGCTCGCTCGGCCGCGCCCGCCCCGCCCCCGCCGCCCCCGCGCTCTGCCCTGGGCTCGGGCAGGGACCCGGGTCGGGGCGACCCCGCGGCGTGCCCGGAGCGGCAGCCTGGCCCCGCGGTGAATCCGCGCGCGTCTCCCGGCCTCCCGGGGCCTGGCTGCCCGACGCTGCCCGGGCGTCAGGTCCCGGCCTCTTATCCAGAAAGAGGGGCCAGCCGCGGGCCGTGCGATAAAGATGGCAGCGTCCACGCGGAAAGGGAGCTTTGCAGAGTGCTGGGAGTGGAAAGGGTGCTTGCGAGAGCCGAGGTCGAGCCGTCGGTCTTCCTCTCCGTTCCGCCTGTCAAGCCGTCCTCCTGCCTCAGCCTCCCCAGTAGCCGAGACTTAACAGGTGCAAGCCGCGCTGTCCTAAGAGCGCTCGCATTTTGATTTTGGAAGGAAAAGAAGGCCTCGTCGTAAATAAGCCGTGATGGTTGTGAGAGCCCTTCGTGACCTTTCAGCCAGCTGCTCTCCGCCTCAGAGCTTTGACCGCATTGTTTTAGATTTTTCCCCCCACCTGCAGTTATGTTTGCAAAGAACGTGCTGGGTCCTTGACAGGCTCTTACTGTATCTGGTGGAGAACGTTTTCAGGTGTCTCTATAGTCGACCTTTGTGCTTAGCATCTCCACGGCTGAGTAGGGTGCTGGGATATGGTGGTTGGCACGGGCACTTTACTTGGCCTTTTCCAAGATTACCCTGCTCTTGAAATAACATTTTGTGAAAACCTTACTGTTCTCGCGGAGGGCGAACTGGAAACAATGTTATCAGATTTTAAGGCCCCTGCTGCTCTCCGGGAAGTATGCTCTTAAAGCCTGTTAGCCTCGGCTTTGGGTTTTGTTAGTTGCCTAAGGGGGTAACGTCCAGCCTAGACTTTTAACTTGCTGTTTCTATTGCAGTAGAAGAGAAGGGAAGGGATGGGTTTTGGACCTTTTAATTCTCACCTTTAGTGTTTGGTGTCAGCGAGGGAAACTCCACAAACCTTCCTTGTTACTGCAAACAGAGGCGGAACAGAGAAGGCTCTGGTGGGTGTGCTTGGCTGGCTGCTGCTGCCTTTGCTGGCCGTGGACAACTCAGGTGACAGGAGTTTGCCGCTTTCAAGTCTGAAATGCTCTCCCTGCGAATCGGCAGACGTGACTAAGCGCTTCACAGAAGCGAGGAAAACATTAGCTCTGAGGAATCTCTTACTTTTGCTGTGCTCGGTGCAGGTTTATTTCCTCTTCTTCAAATCTTTAGACTATGGGATTTTTTTTATTATTATAAGTTAATGTAAATGAGCAAAGGTTGGTTCACTAAAGGAGAATTTGGTATGTTTGAGTTCTTTGTCAGTGTCTGCTTGGAAGTTCATCTTGGGGAATTAATTTTTTTTCTCTAGTTGAGTTTATAGCGATAACTTTAATTAAAAACACACTTGAATTTCTTAGTCCTGCTGAGTTAAAAAAAAAAATTATCGCAGAATTCCTTTGCATCAAACTGACAAGCATAACTACTTAGTCTGTTTTCCCGTCATTTCAGAAGCCATGGCTGAGAGAGTTTTCTTTTTCTTTATTTTTTATATTTTGGTTTTCCTGGCCTTGTTTTGTAGACCAGGGCGGCCTCCAACTGCCTCCCTGAGCGCCAGCAGAGGCTTTTTCTTTCTGACGTCCTTTCTTTGTTTTTCCTGAGAATATGGTATATTAAGGGTAAATTTGTGTGTGATTGCCAAGAGGAGATGTAGCCATTTAAAGTTTTTCTTATTTCGTAATTTTTGAAAGTTTTGGTTTCTTTTTTTTTTTTTTTTAATTCATTTAATTTTATTTTATGTGCAATAGTGTGAAGGTTTCAAATTCTTTAGAATTGGCATTACAGACAGTTGTGAGCTGCCATGTGGGTGCTGGGAATTGAACCCGGGTCCTTTGGAAGAGCAGCCAGTGCTCTTAACCACTGAGCCATCTCTCCAGCCCAAGTTTTGATTTCTTAATTGTTTCTTAATAGACAAATGTCAGTTGATCAAATTATTTTCTATTGAGGATTCAAAATCAAGTGTAAAAATTCTCAGTTTAAACTAAACTATATCTTAGAAGCGTTTGTTCTGATTTTACTTCATTAAAATTAAATTTAAAAATTACATTTATTTTTGTGTTTGTGTATGTATGTATTATGTATGTATGTATTTGTTTTTGTATAATCCCTCCATTAAAAAAATATATGTGAGGCTAGAGAGATGGCTCAGTGGTTAAGAACACTGGTTGTTCTTCCAGAGGACCTGAGTTCAATTCCCAGCATCCACATGGAGGCTCATGACCTTCTATACTGGGGTGTGATGCCCTCTTCTGTCATGCAGACATATATATAGGGAGACGGAGCACTCACAGACATAAAATTGAATGTTAGGAGAAAGGATTTTGAATGTTTTCCCATAAAGAAATGATAAATATTTGAGAATATAGATGTGTTTTGCTTCATTTATACATTTTATTATATACGATAGTTTGAAAACGTTGCAAAGCACCCCACTGCTGCTTTTATTTTAGTTTTACATTTATTTTTATGTGTAAGGGTGTTTGCACACACATGTGTTTGTACACCATGTGTATGTCTGGTCTCCTTGGGAGCCAGAATAGGTGTTGGGGTCTTGTGGGAATGGAGTTACAGATGGTTGTGGGATTGAACTCAGGTTCTCTGGAAGAGCAGCCAGTGCTTTTAACAGCCAAACCATCTCTCTAGCACCCCACTAATGCATTATATATTAGGAAAAAAAAGTGTAAGAAGTAGAAGTATATTTTCCCCATTTCTTGGAGGTGAGACTTCTGTTGTGCTTTTTCTTCTTAGTTACATAGACACGTTCCCTTTAGTCACTGAGGTAGACGGGATTACATCCCTAGTCCCAGAGCTTTCCTGTCGCTCTTCAGTGTTAGTGACCGTCCCTGTGTGTGTGAGTGGTTATATGGCTGTGTGACATGCCATGAGCATTGCAGGTGCTATCAGGAGTTGTTCACAGTGAGCGGTGTGCTGGCATAATAGTAGTACTAGTCCTAGTTTTTGATGAAAAGACAGAAATGTAGAGAAATTGAACATGCCTGGAGTTACAGTAAATTAGAGAGCCAGGATTCAAACACAGAACGTGTGGTGCAGGCCCCGTGGTTTGCTCACTAGATCAGAAGGATCACCTCTTTCTTAGGAAAAGACTGTTCCATCACGTCGTGACATGCATGGGATATTTGCCTGGTTTTCTTCACCTTTAACGATTGTTACTATGTGTATGTGTATTTTGTCTGCGTGTTTGTTCTTCCTTTGTACCTGTATTTAGATGCCAGAAGAAAGGATTGGATCCTTGGAATTGGATTACAGATGGTTGTGAACCATCCTTGTGAATGCTCTTCCTTTGGAAGAGCAGTCCGTGCTCTTAGCCACCAAGCCAATCTCTCAGTCCCTTTTTAAATTTTTATTATTGATACAGGGTCTCATTCTAGTCCATCTGGCCTCCTGTTCATGATGATTTCCTGCTTTATCCTCTGGTGTTTTGGGTTATAGGTATGAGACACCCTTCCTGGCTGTGTTTCCATTGATGGGCATGTAGGTTGCTTATCTCTTCACTTTACAAGCAGTGCTAAAATGATGTACTTGTAGTTATTTTTTTCTACTGGGATTTGAACTCAGGCCCTTGTGCATGCTAAGCAAGCACTCTTCTACTGAGCTGTCTCTCTGGTTTTGAGACAAGAGCTCCCTCAAGCACAGACAGGCCTTGAACTTAAGATCCTCTTGCCTCAGCCTCCTTAGTAGCTGACGTTGCAGGCCTGTACCACCAGTGCTCTTGTTTTTGTATCTATGAAACTGCTGAGTTAAAGGGCCCATTCTGAGGGATTTAAATGTTAAAGATGTTGCTGGCTTAAGCTTAAAAAAGTAAAAAGTATCAGCTTACATACCTGCCAAGCTATATCAGAAGGTAGAGTTCCCCATTAAAAGCTCTGGATGGCTTAGTTTTAAATTTGTCTTCTGATAGATTTTTAAAAAGCTATTTTGTTGCTTCTGTCTGTCAGCCTGTCTCTGTCTCTCTGTCTGCCCACCCCTCTCCCCCTTCTCTGACACTCTTTGCTGTGTGGCTCTGGTTTACCTAAGCTGCCACTAGTCCTGTCTCATATCCCAAGTGCTGGCGTTAAGCCATTCCCATCATGCCTGAGGTATTTTTTTAATTAACACTTTGGTGCCTGGACTGTGCCAAACCCTCTGTTAGTCTCTAAGAAGAACAGAGATAAGCCAAATCCCAGACCCAGTCTTTGTTCCTAGGTAGTCATTTAGTCATTAATTAGATTATTCCACAGACGGGTGTAAAACCATTTATTCAACTATTACAAATGTGTACTACTTGCCAGACACACTTCTCGGTAATTATAATCCATCAGTGACCATGACAGGTACATAGTCTGGCCCTAGTGAAGGGAAAACATACAAAACATACCCAAGTTATATAGATTCTTGGCCAATAAGAGTCTTCAAAAGAGCAGCAGGGCCCAAGGAAGCACGCGCTAGGTTTATTTACTTTTATA